AACCCTTAAATTAGCAAATCTCAGGCTGGGTGAAGTAGGCTTCTCAGGCAAACCACTTCCCTCATGTGCAAATGTCTGATGAAACAGTGCTTCATTTTTTTTTTCTTTCTACCAGCACTTACCACTGTCTGACACGAGAGAGCACATTTGCTTGCATGTTTGTGTATCGTTTGTGCACGAGGCCAGGGCTTCATTTTGTTGACTTCTCAATTCCCAGCTCCTGGAGCGGTTGCTGGCATGTAGCGGGTGCCCAGTAAATATTTGTGGGATGGATGTACGAATGAATGAACGAGCACTTGGCTGTGAAGTTTTTTGACTTTAGTCAAAAAGAGAGTGGTTTGGGGGTTCCTGAGACCCCTTTGGGAGCCTGCAAGGTCAAAACTATGTCCATAGTGATAGTCAACTGTTACTTGCCTTCTCCCTCTCATTCTCTCATGTGCAGATCTCTGTGAACTGGTATTTCCCAAGTAACCAATGCTTGATGACAAAGCTATGCAGGGTAAAAGGAGCCATTCAAAGTGCAGGGGACACCCTATAAGTATGTACAATTTTATTTGTCAATTAAAGAAAGAACAACAATCAAAAACCCCCAAAGTACAATAATGGATGCAAAGACCAGTGGATTTTTATACAACAACATGAAAAGTTCACGGACAGTTTCAGATTCCACATTGCAGCCAGCCATCCACTTGTACAGTTTTGGTGTAGCATCAAGAAAAATATCCACACTTATTGAAAAGCCTGTGAAGACACCCCTTTCCCAGCTGCTGTTGGTGTGAGTCCAGGGTTTCTTTACCACCTAAAAAACTGAATTGTAACATATCGAACGCAGAGGCTTGTCTCTCAAGCCAGATCTGAAAGAGACTTGCAAGAATTTAAAATCACGTCACCACTCTTCTCACATTTGTTTGTACTGGAAAATAGCATCACTTTTCATAAAATGATTATTTATGTTAACGAGCCATAGGTTTATTATAAGTGAAAGCTCTTTGGAGTCCTCAAAATTCTACAAGCATAAAGGGGCCCTGAAACCAAATTGTTCAAGACGGGCTGGTTAAGACGGAGCCTCGGGGACCGAAGTGATCTTGCAGCAGATCTTGTAGCAGATCATTCAGGAGTCTCTTCTAGGTGGTTGATCAGGTTTATTCATCATCCCTGATGTCAGGAGCTGTCTGTCTGAACGATTGATCTGTTTGCCTTCCTAGCCTCGTAGGTTTGGGTGAGTTGCACTCTCCGTGTGTCTTGTTGTCTTGTGTGTTTAAAGATTGGCCGGAGTGGCCTGGGGCTTGTGTGGTAAGAAAATTCGATGGTTTTCCTCCAGCTGTGACACTTTCCTATTTAATTCCTGGAACCTTCGCCATCTGTTAGCTTTGTTCACTCCTCTGAAAGAGATTGGTGAGAACTGCAGCAGCGAGAGTTGGTTTCAGGGAAGAGGCAAGCCAGGGTTGCCTGTGAGCAGGAAGGACCTCTGGATGTGGGGACCACTGCACCTTGCTGATACGTAAGTGGGGGCTCTTTGAGACCTGGGGCTGTTACGTTCATCCTGGGTCCCAGGCTTTCCCCAGCCTGTAGCCTGAAGTTTGGTGTCTTATCTTCACCAAGACGACAGCAGTGACCTCACCTGGGGTTCTGTCCTGGTGTTTATTGGGTAACTGAGGTGGTTGGCTTCAGGCCACCTGCCTCTCCCAGCTGACCAGTTAGTGCCAGAAGACACTGCATGTTTATTTTCGTGGCTCCTCTCCAGCTTCCTGCTGCTCTTCCCAGAGCAAGGGTGGTTTAAAAAAAGACTGCGTGCGTGTGCTTCCCCACTTTGAACGTCAAATGATGTTGAAATCTGTTTTTTTCGAACCTGAATGTGTTTCACATTATTGTGTCCCTGGGGAGCTGCACACTTTTGACAGAAAATGGTTAAAACTTGGGTTGAGCAAATTAAATGAACCAGTGTCTCTGATACACTGGAGCTTGTTGCCTGGCTCCATGATGATGGTGATGATGTTGATGATGATGTAATGCATTGTGGTGATGATCAACGTTGTTTCTCTTGAGTAATCTTGATAGATGATTTGTACAACTCACCTTATATCGTTTTTTTTTTTTTCCCTGCAATTAAAATGTACTGTAGCTGGGCACGGTGGTGCACGCCTGTAATCCCAGCGAATTGGGAGGCTGAGGCAGGAGGATCTTGAGTTCCAAGTCAGCCTCAGCAATTTAGTGAGGCCCTAAGCAACTCAGCAGGACCCTGTCTCAAAATAAAAAGGGCTGGAGATGTGGCTCAGTGGTTAAGCAACCTTGGGTTCAATCCCCAGTACAAAACCTAAAACCCAAACCAAAAATACCAAAAAAACTCAAAACAACAATAACAGAAAAACATTGTGTTCTTCCTGTATGCCAGGCACAGTGCTGCGTTTCATTTGCTGGGATTAACAGGGTTAGAAATGCATGTGACAGTGGTTCCCAAACACTGGTCTGCAGACTGTTCCAGTGGTCCAGTTTTTGGGGTGGGGGTCCATGTTAAGAAGAGTGAAAAGGACACAGTACTGAGATTCTCACGGAGTTAACTATTACTCATTTCAAAGAATTATCCTTCAGTTAGAATAAGTCCTTACTGAAATTTTATTTATTTATATTTATATATATCAGGAGAATGCATTACAATTCTTACTACATATACAGAGCTCAATTTTTCAGGGGGAAAGTATATCCTTTTGTGAAACAAGAATGATGATGGGTGGGAAGGTAAAAAGTTGTGAGCCCTGTATTGATCCTTAACATTTTGGTATGTGTGATGTTTGAAAATGCAGTAGACTGTGAAATCCCAAACACTGGTAGATAAAAATCAAAAAGCAGAGCTAGATGGGATCTCAGGAATCAGTCAAGGCACACCACCTTCCTTTTACGGTTTAAGTACCTGAGACTCAGAGATGGCATGTGACTTGCCCAAGGTCACCCAGCAAATTGGAGGTCAGTCAGGGCTGAAATCCAGACAGGATGGTTATAGGCACCAGTTTTTTGAGTTAGCTACACCTGTGCTTAAATCCTCTCTCACTTGAGCTGAGGTCTTATCTGGTGTACCTATGCAAGTGGTTCACAGGATCCTTTAATGAGATGACTTGGCTTAGGAGAAATTTTGGCTCAAGATCAAAGGAAACCCTCTTCTCTTTGCCTGTCCCCCTCCTCCATTAACACATAGGTCCTTGTGATAAGTCAGTGAGGGACAGCAGCCAGAGGGTTTTATTTTTAGCAAAGACTCTGCATTTACTACTTATGATTCTGAGTAATCTGAGTTGTTTCTTGGGCTGTTCCTCAGCCCTCTCTTAGGGCTCTTGTTCTTAACTGCTGAATGGTTTCAAAGATCTGAAACCCTTGCCTCCCTGTCCCCAGCCCCAGGCACAGGTCTAAGGAGGATAGAGTAAGAAAGGCTTTGCTCAGACTCAAGTGCTGTTTATGCAGCTTGTCACTCTTCTCTTTCTTGAGATGACCTGCCTGCCTTTTGGGACCTAAGATGATTGACAGTGATAACATTCAATTATAGCATTTTCACTCTCATCTGGGGCACCCGGCAACAGCCTTTTAACAGAGATATCACAGAGTAGCAAGCATGCAGAAATTCTCATGACGTACCATCAAATTTTAAGACCAAAGAACATTCCGTGCTCCCTCTTGAAGCCTTATAATAACTGACATAAATTACCTTGTGGGAATGGAATGGTCCTGGCGGACCGTGCTTTCCTGGTGACAGTGTGGTGACTCCATCTGTTCACAGATGAAGGAAACATGGTGACTTGGCAAATGGTCCCAAATGCCCCTGGCTTGTTGCCATAGGATTGTCCTCGAGACCAGGGCACAGTGATGT